ACACTCGGGAAAAGTAAGGCTGTTGCTGTAATTATCTGAATACCTCAACAACAACAATGAAAATTATTCCATCTAGGATTCCTGAATTGTTGCTGCAGTTGTTGTTTTTTTTTTTTTCTTCTTTTTTTGGTCACTTCTGAAAACTCAAGTTGCCTAAAAGTCCATCTTATTTTCTATACATTTAATTCCTCATGAAAATACAAAATCTTCAGTCAGTATTTAAAAGATGATATGGGCAGTGAAGTCTCAGACAGAAAATGAACTTACTCTGGTGATTTTGGAGTAGAAACAACTAAATTTTTTGCATTCTAAATGTAGTGAGTCATATATTCTTAAGATAAAAATCTACTTTGAGTCTGTTCTCTGCTAATGATGGTAGCCTCACATATAGCTACATATTGGATATGCAACAATTTTTCTAGCAATTATTTTAGACATTTAAATGGTTTTTAAATACTTCACTTATTGTTCAGTCTCTCAGTCATGTCCAACTCTTTGTAACACCGTGGACTGTAGCCTACCAAGCTTCCCTATCCTTCACTATCTCCCAGAGTTTGCTCAAACTCATGTCCATTGAGTCAGAGATGCCATCCATCCATCTCAGCCTCTGCCACCCTCTTCTCCTTTTACCTTCAATTTTCCCAGCATCAGGGTCTTTTCTAATGATTTGGCTCTTTGTATCAGGTAGCCATAGTATTTGAGCTTTAGCATCGGTCCTTCCAATGAATTATCCGGGTTGATTTCCTTTAGGATTACTGGTTTAATCTTGCTGTCCAAGAGACTCTCAAGAGTCTCCTCAGGCACCACAATTCAAAAGCATTAATTCTTAAACACTCAGTCTTCTTTATGGTCCAAATCACACATCCACATGTGACAAACTGGAAAACTGGAAAAACCATAGTTTAGCTACATGGACCTTCATCAGCAAACTGACGTCTCTGTTTTTAACACACTGACTAGGTTGTTATAGTTTTTCTTCCAAGGAGCAAGTGTCTTTAAATTTCATGGCTGCAGTCACCATCTGCAGTGATTTTGGAGCCCAAGGAAACAAAATTTGTCACTGTTTCCACCTTTGTCCCTTCTATTTGTCGTGAGATGATGAGATTAGATGCCATGAACTTAGTTTTTTGAATGTTGAGCTTTAAGCCAGCTTTTCCACTCTTCTCTTTTACCCTCATCAATAGACTTGTTAGTTCTTGTTCACTTTCTGCCATTAGAGTGGTGTCATCTGCATATCTGAGGTTGCTGATATTTCTCCTAGCAATCTTGGGCTGGATGAAGCACAAGCTGGAATCAAGATTGATGCGAGAAATAAATAACCTCAGATATGTAGATGACACCACCCTTGTGGCAGAAAGTGAAGAAGAACTGAAGAGCCTCTTGATGAAAATGAAAGAGGAGAGTGAAAAAGTTGGCTTAAAGCTCAACATTCAGAAAACTAAGATCACTGTATCTAGTCCCATCACTTCATGGCAAATAGATGGGGAAAGAGTGGAAACAGTGGCTGACTTTATTTTTCTGGGCTCCAAAATCACTGCAGATGGTGATTGCAGCCATGAAATTAAAAGACACTCACTCCTTGGAAGGAAAGTTATGACCAACCTAGATAGCATATTAAAAAGCAGAGATATTACATTGCCAACAAAGGTCCGTCTGGTCAAGGCTATGGTTTTTCCAGTGGTCATGTATGGATGTGAGAGTTGGACTATAAAGAAAGCAGAGCACTGAAGAACTGATGCTTTTGAACTGTGGTGTTGGAGAAGACTCCTGAGAGTCCCTTGGACTGCAAGGAGATCCAACCAGTCCATCCTAAAGGAGATCAGTCCTGGGTGTTGATTGGAAGGACTGATGCTGAAGCTGAGACTCCAATACTGTGGCCACCTGATGAGGAGAGCTGACTCATTGGAAAAGACTCTGATGCTGGGAGGGATTGGGGGCAGGAGGAGAAGGGGACAACAGAGGATGAGATGGTTGGATGGCATCACCGACTTGATGTACATGAGTTTGAGCAAACTCCAGGAGTTGGTGATGGACAGGGAGGCCTGGCGTGCTGCGGTTCATGGGGTCGCAAAGAGTCGGACACGACTGAGCGACTGAACCGAACTGAGCTGAATCTTGATTCCAGCTTGTGCTTCATTCAGCCCAGCATTTTGCATGATATACTCTGCATGCAAGTTAAGTAAACAGAGTGCCAACATTCAGCTTTGACAAACTCCTTTCCCAATTTTGAATCAGTACATTGTCCCATGTCTGGTTCTAGTTGTTGAGTCTTGACCTATATACGAGTTTCCCAGGAGACAGTTAAGGTGGTCTGGTATTCTTATCTCTTTAAGAATTTTCTGTGAATCACCAGAATAATTGAGTCATCAGAATGAATTACAGTGAATCAGCAACAATTTGTATAGACTGTTATTAACATTTGATATTTATGTCCAACTAATCCTTCTTCTACACCTGACTTTGGGTCATTAAAGAGTGTAAAACAATGTGAGCCTAATATAATATTGCAATTATCTTGTTTTCAATAGCCACATACTGGCTTCTTTTTTTCATGAGAAACCAAGAGAGTAATAGATTTATGTCTCGATCTCACACACACTCCAGGCAGGGTCATTGTGCACAGGGCATATTGTTTGCTCGCCTGTTTCAGGTGGTTATCTTGCTTCTCCATCACTGTATAGCCCCAGTTTTAAGGGACTATAAGGGGAGCTAAGTCACTTGGAACTGGAGATCTGAAAATGAAGTGTCACATTTTTTGTTGATTATGATGGTGGTCTTTGTCTTCTCAGAAACACTTCCTTTAATGAGCAGAGCATTAAGTGGAAAAAAAAATTCAAGTCTCCAGTTTCCTAAGTATTCATCCATATTTGGATTGGCAAAGCAAATATTTTGTCACTTAAGCTCTAACATAGGCTTTCCAGATACACTTGGCAGAAGAAAACGATCTTATCAACCACTCCCTAGACTGTTAGTAATTCTTTTCTTTGTAATGCTGTTGTGTTAATAAATATACCTTCTCCATGAAAAGATTAGCAGATTTCTCAGATTAAAAGCAGCCACAAAGCTTTCATTGCACGACCCATCTGAGAATTGTGGTATGAACCACTCGCTAAAATCTAGGAAGGGTATGCAACTCCTTTCACCATAAGGATTCGTCAGAAGGGATGAGCTAATTTCTTAGCCTGGTATTGAGACGTCTCTTTCTCTTGAACCTTTCACTGTCGGACTCCTGAATTATGAGGCAAGTAGTTCTCCTGCCTTCTGGAGACTGTGTGTCGAAAGGTCTGAGATTACATGGGGAGAGAGTAAAACCCAGTTAAGTCCAGTCTTCCAGCCATTCCTGCAAGCCAGAGGCATTAAGAATGTGAGTAAAGCTGTCGTAAACCCTCTAGACTAACTGAGGCCCCAGTTGAATATTACCAGTGATCAATCTATGATACATGCAATAAATAAATTTCTCAGCTGAACCTTGCACACTTTCCTTATCCATTAAATCATAAGACATAGTAAAATAGTTTCTCTCTAAACATTCGGGGAGAATTTACTGCAAAATAGGATATAACCTAATGATAAGAACTGAATAGCATGTCTTTATTTTCTCTGAGCTGCTGGTGTTTAGAGTCTGGCATATGTTGGGGATTTAAGAGTTATTTACTGTGTCGATATATAGGGGATAAAGACATAGGTTCTTGAAGGATGGAAAGATGCATTTAAGCATGACACATTTGTTGAATGCCTGGATGGAAACTATTTCAGTCCCAGAGTTTGACCAGTGAGGAAGTAAGAGATACCGAGATGTTCACCTTGTAAGGGGTTAAGTTCTAAGGCTGACACATAAGGCATCTCATCAAAACTTATTCTTCACATAGTTTAAAATGCTTGTGATAAAACAGACTGCATGGTTTTGTGCATTCCAAAAGAAGTTGGATTAAATTTACATGCTATTTGAAAAATGCATTTGTTTAACTGGTGAATGCTATTTTGTGCTGAGAAATGTCCAAACATGAGAGACATAGAAACTACGACTAAAGCACTAGATGATGTCTCCCCTCTGGTACTGGCCTCAAACAGAGCCATCATGTGCGGTCACTCCAGATTCAACCAGGACAACCCTGGCTGTTGCCATTCATGCTCACGATGACGTGAACAGCTTCTCGAGGACTGATGCATTGTACAACCTATGCAACTGGACGTTGCCTTCTTTCTCTAGACAACAGTCTCCCTAGGCACGATGGACCTAACCCTTCAGGTATTTACATTTGTCTCTTTCCATGTGGCCATGTTCCCCTTTTGTCTTATTGTTTATATTATTTTTTGTATCAAAGACAGTTTAGCTAATTATGTTACTTCACTGAACTGCAGAGCATTTTAGGGGAGCAACGCCAAAGGTGTGGGGAAACCCTGATAAGATTCAGTTCTTCCCACAGTACTGAAGAATGGCAGGAAGAAGCTGCACTCAGGCCTCTCATTAAGCAGTTTGCCCAGGTCCCCAGCAATCTGCTCATGGCTGATTGCAATGGTTACTTTCCAGTCTTCATCTCACTTGAGTACTCACTGGGACACAGCTTCCCACTCGTTTTTAGGTGTAAACCACACACTCTTAGCTTACTTCCTTCATGACTGCTCTTTCATGGTCTCCTATCATGGTTCAACTGACCCTAGTCTTCAAATAAGACAGAAATCAATCCTCATATCTCTCATTTCACCTCATGGCTTCAAATTCTGTGCATCTCAAGTTTGCCTCCATTTTGTATATTTTCTCTGAGCGTTAGACACCTCCACTTATATGTCTAATGAGCATCTCAGCCTCGCTATGTTAAAAATCCAATTTATGATAGTCCTTTCTTCCCCAAACAGCTTTTCCTGCATTTAATAGCAATTTTTATTTCTGAATTGTTCAGGACAACCTGACTTGTAGCCAATCTTGACTCCTGTTTTGCATATTCACATTCAATTCATAACAACTTCTGTTCTATTTTCAAGACATATTCAAATGTTTGCTACTTCTCATCACTTCCGTCACAAGCATCACGGTTCCAGCAGCCATCATCTCTGGGCTGGATGTACTGCTTCCAGCCCCTGACTGGTCCCTTGCCTTCCAGCCTAGCGTTTACTGTCAGCATGGTAACCCAAACAGTTCTGTTAAATTCTTCTGTTCTTTTGTTCAAAACCTTTGACGGCTTCCTGTCTACTTGCCTCTTTTCTGTCCCCACTTCTAATAATTTTCTGCTCTCTTGCTCTGTCCTAAACATGGTGGCCTCCTTGCTTTTCCTAGAATAGCTCAAATGTGTTGCTGCTTGAGTGCATTTGCAGGTATTATTCTCTACTTCGTCATTTTCACAGAGTTTGCAGGGCTCTCATCTCCCTCCTTTTAAGTCACTGCTCAAAATTATCTTCTGCAAGACCCTCATTTGCCACTCTAGTTCAAATCCAACCATCCCAGTATCTCTGCTTTACTGCCACTCCTGCCTCAATTTAATTTATTCATTAACATATGTCATCTTCTAAGAAGCAATGTAATGCTCTTCTTTGTTTTGCTTATAGTCTATTTTCTCTGCATAAAATGTAAAATGCATAAAAGTGGGGGTTTTATCTATTTACATTTGCTAATGTGTCTCTAACTTAGAATAGAACTTGGCACACAGGTTTTCTGCATATAATTATTGAATTAGTTAATGATTAAGGTAGGGCGATACTGTTCTAGGGTGTCAAAATAATGAAATAAAAGGAGAGTTTAGGTGGTCCAAGATTCTAAGAAAAGAATCAGGATTTAAAGACAGATATTGAATCAAACTGTATAGGAACATAAGAACACATCCATAAAATTGATGCAGAAAAATATTTGAGTTTTGCTTTTGGTTCTTTTTTCAGGGATTCTTATAAGATAAATGGAAGTCTCTTTAGAATTGAAGCAATGTTTATAGATGAGAACACATGATTTCAAATACCTAAGTTGAGGTGTTTCCTACTGAGGAATCAACAGTATCTCCTGTATTGTATGAGAATAGTTGCACATACAGACAGAATCTTACATAGCTAGTAAAGTTAATTTTTTTAATTTTATTTTTCAAATTTTATTTTTTTAAATTGGAATTTAGTTACTTTACAATGCTGTGTTAGTTTCTGCTGCACAATGTAGTGAGTCAGCTGTCTGTGTGCCTATATCCCCTCTCTCGGACACCCCCCCACACACATCCTATCCCTGTAGGTCATCACAGGGCACAGAGCTGCGCTTCCTGGGGTCTACAGCAGCCTCCCACTAGCCATCTATGGTCTAGTACACACACAGTGGTACATATATGTCAATCCTCATCTTCCAAATTATCCCATCCTCCCCCACCGCCTGGATCTCAAATCAGAAATTATTTAAGATTTGTTCAAATCTATTAATCAGTTACTTATTAAACACTTATCATGTTTCCAGTACAGTGTTAGAAATGGAATATTCGTGGTGAACACATCATTCTCTAAAGCTGAACAAAGAAGGCAGACACGTACACAGATCTGTACAATACAACACAAATGCCATAAGACATGCAAAATATTATGGGAGCATGAAAGAGGAAGCTTCTGTAGTTTTCCTGGTGGAGATGACATTCATGCTGAGGCTTAAAGGATGCGTAGGAGTTCTCCCTTTGGAGGAAAGTCTAGGGAATGCATGCATACAAACACAGAAAATGTGCAGTATGTTTGGGAATAGGAAACAAATTTCTTTCCAGAGTCTGGCAGGTAAGATTTTAGGGAAAAAGAATAAATCGACAGATGAAAATTAGAGCAGGGGGAATTACTCCTTTTAAAGACATTGCTTCGTTTAGCTCTTGCATCTCTCACATTTACTGGGAACTGGTGCTATCCTAGATGTCACTGGAGACACTGGGTAAATAATGACAGAAACCCAGCATAGCACTGCCCTAAAGCAACTTATGTTCTAATGAAGAAACAAGTACATGTAGTTATAATCCAGTGTGATGACTGCTGGAAACACACACACACACACACCGAAGACATCTTGTGTTGTGTTAGTCACTCAGTCATGTCTGACTCTGCGATTCCCATGGACTGGAGCCTGCCAGGTTCCTCTGTCCGTGAAATTCTCCAGGCAAGAATACTCCTAGGAACTGCAGTAACAGGCACGCTTACTGGAGTGTACCGTGCATCTAGAATGGATGTCTTCTAGATGAGAGTGGTGTGTGTGTGTGTGTGTGACAGTGGACATAGCATATGTCCTGATACCACAAAGACTCCAGGCTGGGGAACTTTGCTGGGTTCAGCCTGGGTCAGTGGGGGGTCATGAGTGAGAGTGGGGTGGAGAAGAGTGAGGCTGGGCTGTGAAACGCCTGCCATGCCATCCCGAGCACCTAGAGGAACGCTCTTCTGTCTGTGGGAGTCACAGGGGTTTTTAGGTAAGAGGTCGTCTGAGCCAGATATGCTAGGTGGAGAGTCTCTGTTTGCAGAAGAGAAACTGACTTGGAGAGAGCAGTTAACTGGGTTTCAGGGGGCAAGGCACTAATAAGACAGGGACTGAAATGTTTTACTAGCTCTATCAGGAAAACGTTTGGAGCCAAATAGTGAAGCGATGTAACCTGTGTCTTATACAAAGTAAGAAAGAATGCTGGATTTTATACAGGGGCCAGGGTCATAAAATGATCAGTTATTTTAGAAAGATAAATCCAGGAGGATGAATCAGTGCGGTGTGGATATAAGACAGGCTGGCACCTGGGACCCTTTGCAGAAGTGCTTGCTGCTGGACAAACGCCTCCTCATTTCAAATATCTCAACAAAACACAAAGAAAGGGAGGACTAAAAAATAGCAACTGTGCATATGCACAGCTGGGGCAAATTATGGACAACAAGATACAAAAAGACCTAAAAACGCAAAAACCAAAAAACTCAACTGCCACTTTCAGAGAGCCAGGAACAAGAAGAGGGTGTTGAGGGCAAAACCAGGGGATTGAGTATGCACCCTGCACTCATCACCAGCAAAGGGGTGGGCAGAACACCCAAGCCACCCCTCCACCAGCCCCTGGACGTACCCTTACTCTCACCACAAGTAGAGAGCCCGCTCACCCGTCTCCCCAGGAGCGGGGAGCGGCAAGGGGCCCTGTCACTAGTTTTCTCCCCCTGTTGTGTAGCAGGGGCCTCAATAAAGCCTCGCCTTAGTTTCTTAGTTTCTTTTTCACTCTCCTTTTTCACTTTCCTTTAGAGGCTGATTAGTTCTTCCCTTTCTTCCATAAGGGTGGTGTCATCTGCATATCTGAGGTTATTGATATTTCTCCCGGCAATCTTGACTCCAGCTTGTGCTTCATCCAGCCCAGCGTTTCTCATGATGTACTCTGCATAGAAGTTAAATAAGCAGGGTGACAGTGTACAGCCTTGACGTGCTCCTTTCCCAATTTGGAACCAGTCTGTGGTTCCATGTCTGGTTCTAACTGTTGCTTCTTGACCTGCAGACAGGTTTCTCAGGAGGCAGGTAAGGTGTTCTGGTAGTCCCATCTCTTGAAGAATTTTCCACAGTTTGTTGTGGTGAGTGAGGGGGCTGACAAGTGCCAAAGGGCATTTCCATGAAGGCATCAGCAATGGGATTAACAGACAATATAAAGAGTTGGTGCTCCATGATTACACGGAAAATAAGATAAGTTTGTGGCTTTGGGCCTAAAAGGGAACATATCCCAACACAATCATTCAGATTTCTGATAACATTAAAAAACTCCAAACCTAGCCAGACTCCTGGGATCACATCATTTGTTTGTGGGATAGCTGCTTTTTTAAAGTAGAAATGATAGAAGAAAATTTGAAAGTATTTAATAGAAGAAACCTATGATGTAGGGAAGAAAAAGAAATACAATGGCAAGGCTATATTGAAATCTCAACCTTAAGATTGAAAGAAATGGAAATGATTTTGAGACTGATGTGGGTTCTGAGTGGGGGAGAGAAACAAAAAAAAACAAAAAAAAAAAAGCAAAAATACAAAAGATGTTTCCATGATAGATTTTATAAAGTTTCATCAAAATAAAACTGAGAAGGAACTCTAGTTCCATGGTCGTCTTTCTGACACCTTCTAGTGGCATTCAGTAGATGTATCGCCCTCCAGGGTCTGTAACTCGGAGAACAAGAACTACATAGGGAAGAATTTGCAACCTTGACCGTCAAGAAGCTGACAGTTGGAGTAGCCGTGGGCATGGGCTGGCGCTGACACCGGGAACACCTCTGCAAGTGCAAGGTGCAAGGTGAGAGGAGAACGAAGTTGGTTAGTGACACTGCCAGCTCCAGGGTCAATCTCAGCCACGAGGAAGGCTGTGCCTGACAGCTGCGCGCTGGGGATAAGCTAGTGCTAGAAAGTCAGAGAGCTCCCAAGAAAGCAACCTAAAAGCTGGGTGAGTGGGTCAAGAAGATGGTTACCAAAGCTTAGCAATAAATAACCCCAGAGCTGTTCACCAGGAGACACAGCATAAACAATTCCATTTGTGCTTTTTTTATGAAAGAAATTATCAGCCATTAACCCCCTGGCTCTTCTCTGAATGGTTACGGCAATGGAAAGAGCTGGAAAAGGAAGGAAATCATATTTTTAACAGTAAATATCCAGGCTGGATCTGTGACGATAGCAATTCAAAAGAACTGTTTTTGATTCAAAGTCTCTGATATTTAGGACTGTGCCGCCTCGGACAGTTCAGTAGCTGCATTGTCTCAATTTTCTCATCTTTGAAATGGGGGGAAAGATGCCTAACCCATGAGTCAGTTATGAAAACTCCAGAAATTGTCTGAGAGTGTGTGGAATAGTCAAGCAATGGGAATATTCATATGGTAATATTAAAATAATATTAAGGGAAGAAAAAAATTTTGGTTGTCCTCAATGCAGAAAATAACGGAGAATGGTGATATCAAGAAAAAGAAGAAGGAGCTTGATGAGGATGAAACCGAAGACTTGATTTATGTTTAATGATAACCTATCTGTCTAAGTTATCTGCTTATCTGGGCTTTCCTGAGCTCAGCTGGTAAATAATCTGCCTGCAGTACAGGAGACCCTGGTTTGATTCCTGGCTTGGGAAGATCTGCTGGAGAAGGGATAGGCTACACACACTTTCACTTTCTTTGTCTTCCAGTTAACACTGCAACATAACAGACACTTCTGGTCTAATCCTTCGGTGGCACTAATTTGATAAAGTGGGTCATCTCCTCCAATAAGAAGTAAAGGATAAACATAAAAAATCAATACCTTGTGGAACTGATGTATGGGCCTAATTATGAGCAACGA